CTAGTGACCAAAAGTAGGCTTGGCCTATATTAATATACATTTATTTAATTTTAACTCCCTTGCGATACAAATTTACTTTATTCAACTCTGGATCCTTTTTCTCAGCTAACTTGATGTGTTATTAAACAAAATAAAGATAGAAGATAATCAGTCAATCACACCACACAAAACAATTTATTAAATCCTACAAACAATTCCTGTTATTTATTATTACTAATTAGGCCTAGGCCTATTATAGGCCTAGGCCTAGTACAAAATTGAAAATTATAAAAGTTCAAATTTTTTTATCTGGGGGGGGGGGGACTCTCACTAACAAGAGTTATCATAAGGTAGTCGTCATTACAGCAAGATAAAAACAAATCTTTAAAAAATAATGTAGGCTAGGCCTAGGCCCTATGCTTTTAATAATTTCTCATCAGACCCCTACAAAGCTATATAGGCCTAGGCCTAGGCTAGGCTTCAGACTTCCTCTGACTGATTGCTAAGCCTACCTGACAGAGGAGGCCCGAAGCCTAGCCTAACCTATGGATTTCTTATCCACTGTTCTCTCCATTTTAACGTATATTTACACACATACGAATATGGCCAGTAACGTACCTTGACTTCCTGATAAAAAGAAAATGAACAAAATAAAAGTATAAAGTCCAAATATATAAATTCTTGTCATAATTGCAAACGAATAAATAAAGGAAGTCCTGATCAACCACCAGCCCTAGTTCAGTTCGGTTCAGTTGTGTTTTTCTTGCCTAGTATGGAGCGCCAAAAGGGCAACATGGAAATCGTTTTCAAGTGCTTGTCTTTTTCATGGATCTATATTCAAGAGTAAATTAATAGCTACAGCGGGCCGTATTTTCCCCCAACATTTCCTGATGTAACATTTTCCATTGAACTTTTCCCCTAGGACAATAGCCTTCCCCCACCCAGACTTTAAATAAATTGAAATATATAATACTTTATCAAGTATTTCAGTATTAATAAAAATAATTATATAAAAAATTATGGCTTTGTTGTAATTTCTTACTTTCAGTGATTCATTCCCATATTAGACAAACCTACTTTGCCACCTACATTTTGTATTAATATTTTCCATGTTATCAGTGTTTTTACGCTAAAGTTTTGTTAATAACTAGAAAGAGTGGGTAAAAATAAGAAATAATGTAAATATCGTTGTTACTTGTGCACTTCAGAGATTTAATAAGAGATGATGCAAATCTTGACGTATTCCTTTACTCTATTTAAATTAAAGTTTTAACAAATAGGTGGAGGAGGATATTATCCTAGGTGACAAAAAACCAGGGTGCTAATTTCACAGGGGGGAATTGTCTAGCTGATCTAGCTAGATTTCTGTTTGTAACTTTTGTTAGTTAAGTTTCTTCATCATTTGCTCATATGACAAGTTTGCGTTGGTTATCTACAGTGGCTGCAACTCTCACTATTGGCCTTGGTATCTATTTTTGATTTTTCATTTTATATACCACATTAAAAGTTAAAATGGTTGATGTGTATGTATTTATTTATAAAGCATTTTAAATTAGGTCTAACAATTTATATTTTGAATAAGCCATACTATGGTTCTTAGAAAGATCTGTCATTAAGAATTCTGGGTCACCAGCGTGTCAGTGATGTCCAGTAGTAACATCAGTATTTAACATTGGTTTATTTGTTTTGTTTTTTTTTTTGTATGTAAACTGTATGGTAAAAAAAAAATCAAACTGTGTATTTCAGTAGCACACAAGAGTGAAAGGTGTGGAACACCACAGGAAGTGACTACTGGCAAAGATACTAGTTAAAAACACAAGATAGAGCTCATTACAGAAAAAAAAAATATGTTCCACCGAAATGGATGGTGGGAATACAAACAATGGGGCGCCGCGTACAGCTGGATCCAAAAACTTCTGCCACCGTTACATAAAAGTGAATACATAACCTCCTTCTGCGGAGGTTGAAATCGTTGCCATTATCTCTAAGATACAAACAAGTATGCATAAATAAATTAAAACAATAAAATTACAGACACAAAAGAGCAGAACCGTATGACTGGACTCCGATTAGTGATGAAGTTTTCCTCCATTAGTGGAAAAAGAAGGGCGCAGTGTGCGTCTGGATATACCTAGCAACAGAAGGGCACCCTATGTTTCTGGACCAAGTACAGAAAACTTGCATTAAAAAAAGAGAAGGGCGCCACGTATGTGTGGACCAATTTCCGCCTCATTTTGCTATGCGAGTGCTCTATCTTGTATTTTTAGAATTTTTGCTACTGGCACGAATGCTTTCACTATTCAGAGTTTCCATTATTAATTTTTTTTCTGGAATTCATATTTCTAAATATTTGTTACCTGCCTCCTCCAAGATATTTAAAATTGTTTTTTTTCAAGCCTTTCCCCACGTGCGCAAGTAATTTTAGGAGGGCGTGCACCCCCATGCATCCCCTAGATACGCCATTTCTTCCCCCGCCAATGTATTTCTGAACCAGCAAGCATTAACAACAATATTTTCAAATAGTTGTATTCTAGCATTGATTTAATAGAAACTGAGAGACTATGTGTGGCCATGTAGGAGACATGGAATGTTGAACAGCAGTGAAGAGCTGAGCTAGCATGAAAAATATATTATATTCCACAAATTTAAGACACATCTTTGGTTTACAATAATAATAAGCATGAAACATCAGATTTGTAAAAAATGTATAAGATTCAAGCTAAAAATATGTTATCCGGTCTAATTTATAAACTAAACACTCCAATATTCTACCTCAACTCCAAAGAATGTAATATGCTATATATAGTAGTAAAACCTAAACAGCATTCATTTATATCAACATTCAACTTTCGATTAAATTAGATATAATATATGGTGTATACACAAAGTAAAAAACAATGAAGAATCTTGATTAGCCTTCAAAATAAGCTTTAAATAAGTTATCAATTTTAAAAGACAGATCAAAAAAACAACTATTTTCATTAAATTTTTACTATAAAATTCCTTAAACCAACCAATTCAATGGTCTATACAAGGAAAAGTATCTTTACACTTCTTGACAATATTGTGTTGCTCTGATATTCAATTGATGGCTAATATAATTATACAGTGTTGTAACGATGGGGCCGGTGGTCCTGTGGCTTTCTGAAACTGGGGGTCCTTTTTGGGTCCCGGTTGCGAATTCCATCGTTGGATTTTAGATGTGCTCAATTTATAATTATGTTTGCATTATTCTAAATGTTTTTAATGACGAATAAATGATATATCAATGGCGGATCCAGGTATTTGATATAAAGGTGCCAGGGAGGGTCTTTCACAGTTGTAGAGTCTATACCACCTCAGCCCCACCATGGTTGGAGCTGAGGTGTGAACGATGATTACAGCACCTCTAGATGGCCGGAAATGGCTCTCACAGGCATAAAATTGTGAATATAATTTTTTTTTTATCTCTATTTAAAAAAATATTTTGACAAATTTAGCAGTGCCCTGGGCCGGCAGGTCGCACCCTCCCCTACACCCCCCCCCACACTTTTTATTCGGTCACTGGATATAATATGATATATGTCCTATGACCTACAGTCGATTTCACAGACACATTTGTTTCCCTGGTGGTGCTGAAATAAAAAAAATGTATGATTATGGCACGTTTAGATGGCCGGAAATGGCACTCAAAGACTTAAAATTGTGAATATAATTTTCATTTTATCTCAATTTTTAAAATTTCCTACAAACTTGGTGGGGTCCCAGGCCGGAAAGGGGCCCCTCCCTTTAATTCGCCACTAGATATAATAATTATGATATATGCCCTGTAGTCGATTTCCTTGACGGTCTTATGTATCAACAAAGTCCTTTTTTGTCAGGGTGCTACACCGAGGGAACCTATATGTAGGGCCCATTTGGAGCCCCTAGGGGTCGGGGGCCCTACAGCCACAGCATGAGAGCGCATAGGCGTTACGCCACTGTATACAAAGCCAGCAATTCGAAAAATGAATTTTACTGTAAATGATAGTATACTCTTAACTCACAGCCCCTGCCCTTATCCAGTATGAAAATACACCAAAAAGGTGGTCTGTACTAGAATGGCAGAAGAACAACTCTGATTCATGTAATTTCTTTACTTCATTTGTTGCGGTTTAAAAGTGAAAGAAAATCTGAAGATGCATTCAGGTTGGTAGGCCTATACAATATTTGAAGTATAACTGCTTTGTATTATGAGAAGAGCACATATGGACCTAGGCCTAAAAAAAATGTAACATCAAAAGATACAAAATGTAACATCCAACATATTATATTCTTTACTATGCACTGACTCTTAACACTTACAATTACTGGCCGACATTATTATCAATGCATTTGTTATGTTTCGCCTTCCAATTGTTTTAGAAAGTTAAAGCATGTGTCAACAGATCAGCCAGACATTGTGATTATGGATTTGCAAGACAAAACACAATACATTTCTTTCCTTTGGAATTTGCACTGGTTTATATATAACTTAAGCTTATTTCCAAAATTTTAAAATCAGGAGAAACTAGTATTCATGAGGTTATCTTTAATTTTTAAATACTGTCCAACTAAATTCCACACACTTATTGTTTTTTCCTATTTTATTTATAAAAGTGGCTTAAAATTATGTGTATATAAGTGTAGCACAGTATAGAAATAGTGAATCAGTATATCCTTAAATTATAAATAAACACAAACTTATATTTAGTATCATGTTATTGTTAAAAAAATATTATCTTTAATTATTCAATTTAAAACTAGAAAATATTCATCATATGCGGCAAAGACAAGCCAAACTAGTCACTCGTCGCAATCTTGTTTCAGAGAGAATGGCTAAAACATGCTGAAATGTCAAAATTTTGGAAATTTATTATTGCACTAAACTAAACTTATATATCTATACATCATGATATGCTGTTATTTTCTCCATTTTCAATGTTAAAACAACAATTTTTAACAATTTGGTGATGATTTCTGCATGAGAAATGCCAGAAATCATAAACTTTAAAGGCTGATTTCTCAAATATTGTTCTTTACACATCTGTATGTTTAAACGCTTGTAACTTCATAAGGAAATTTCGGATTTAAATGATTCTTTTAACATTTTATAGCTCATATTTTCATTATTAGCCCTGTATTAATAACTAAAAATTAATTTTTGCGATGAGTGACTGGTTTGGCTTGTCTTTGCCACATATTTAAACCATAAGGACTAAAGGATATAAAAATGAAAGTATATATTTTCATGTTAAAATCTTATTTTACTATACTCTACACTCCAATTGCCAACTCAAGGATGACTATGTCTTACAACATTAGAACTTCTTTAGCAGCAGTTTCATACTTGCTACTTTCAGCAGAATCGAAACAAGTTTCTTTTATGATCTGTAAATTCATAAATTCTTGCATCTTTTTTTCTATGGCATCTATTTTCCATATTATCAACTACCTTGTACAAATATACAATACATAATTTCTACAATATTTCTCCCATATTTGCTTTAACACAACCAATTTTGCTTGCCACTAACTAATGACCACGAAGTCAATGAAGCAAAAATTGTGGCTACAGTTTCTTCAGCTGAAATTTTATCAGAAATGAATGCAAAGGTTTTCAAGAAAATATCTTTATATATTGAATATATTCAGCAACTAAACAGAAAAAAAAATTATATATGAAAGGATAAACTGTAGTAACTGTTTCCATAAACTGGTATCAACATTTCTAATAAAAATACTTGTAATTACTATTATTTAATATATTATTAATATGGAGAACAGATTTTTCTCAAATTATATTTGTACCTACAATTTGTTGATAGTTTCACCAAACTACAAGCTATTGTATCTGATGGAGCCAAACTGGAAGATTGCCAAAACTGTAAACAAAGAAATAGACATGATGAATAGCCTTCTTTACAGATGTCATCAATAAACTAGACTCCGTTTTGCTCTGGCCAACTCTTTATCCTCATTTCTTCCTCATGTTTCTGAATAACGTTAGCATCCTGGTCGACTTGTTTCTTCAGCGATAACGGAAGGTCATCCTTTGTACGCGATGACTGCGTGTGAATCAGACCTTTAGGATGATGTTCACCTTTTGTGATTTTATTGCATAAGGTCAAAAGGTCATAATTTATCTTTTCCGAGATAACAGAGTCTTGTTTGTAGTCTGGATGCTGTTGCACGTAATCTCGCATCCATCTTGCGGTTGTTTTCAATTTACCTGGAAATAAAGTAAATAATCCATGATCAGAAGGGATTGGAAGTTAAGTATGTTAAACTCACACCTACATTAGGACTCCATAAAATTAAAGATGCAAAGATGCAACGGCACACTCTCCTATGGTTTTGGAGGTGGAACAAGTCTTCTTGGATAAGGACTAGGTACCATATGCCTAGTGTACACAATTGACACGTGCACTTTCAAGAACCCAGTACATCTTGGACGAGTAGGGATTACACCGTTGTACTGCTCCATACAGCCCCTTATGTCGACAGATGACATCAGCTGGCACCCGTTTGCCAGGTAGTTCAGACACAAAGGAGACTCTTCTGGGGGCATAAAGTTACTATTAAAATGAGCTAATTCACGCTTCGATGGCTTTAAGACTCTGGTGTAAAGCGCTACATAAATCGAACTGTTGCTATTTTTAACCATTAATATCATTAACATACGGACATCATACAAGTTCAATCTAATAAAACAAAAAATTCTGTAGGATATGATTTGCTGTTCTTTAAGATTAATTTTGCTCTTCCCATGTAGTGGCGGATTTAAGGGAGCGGGAAGGCAGCCGGCCCGCCCACCCTAATATTCAAATTTAAGTCTTAGAGTGCCATTTCTGGTAATCTAGAGGTGCCATAATCATACATTTTTTTACTTCAGCTGCAGTAGTCTAAACCCTATATCTGTGAAAATCCCTTCTTGGGCCCCCTCTATTGTGAATATCTTGATCCGCCACTGCCATGAGTAGACATTTTATCTAACTTGTGATTGTAAATTCAGGTTTTGATTGTGTTTGTGTGGCGACTACATCATTGGTAGATGAATAATCTGATTTATCTTATTGTATAATTACTGTAACTTACCGGAAGCTCTATCTGAAATCAGGTTGAGGTAAGTTAAAATGGTGCATCGCGTGTCTAAATCAATGTTGACTGAGCGGAGGTATTGGTTGATGAGAGGTATTATGCCAGGAAAGTCCGCTCCGCCCTCTATTGGACCGCCGTTGATAATTGTGTTAATATCCATTAACACATACTCATTATCAACATTGCCTTTGCAATGTTTTGGACCTATAAGAAAGCATCACAAATCCAAACATCAACATGTGTACACAACATACAGTACCTAGAATAATGTATTTTCAAAAGCTGTTGTGGACCAGGTTCATGTCTTTGTTTTAAAGTGTTTCAAAATCTCTTTCTATCAATTTCACAATGTTCAAACTACCCTGAGTACATTTATCTCAACACTACAACATTTCATTCCTGGTCATTTTCATCCATTTTCAATCCAAGGGGAAGAAAGACAAATGGGAATAAAATGCATTTCCACAGGATAAAACCAAGGAGGTATAAAAATTGATAAACCAAATGTAAACATTCCTAACATTTTTCAGGGTGTCAATACAACTTTTAAGTTAAAACAACTGATCCAATCACAACAGGAACAGGAATATGTGTTTGTCTAAGCTTTGTCTACACTATCAAATTTTCTGACAAAGAAACTGTTGTATGCCCATATATAGTCATAATGTGGCTATATATGGTCATGATGTGATGTCATCATGACCATATATAGGAATGTCACATGTTTTTGTCAAATAAAATTTGATAATCTGGACAGGGCTTAACATGAAAACATTTTTTCCCACAAATGCATGTGTCTTCCGTATATGTCTTACACAGTCATTAAGTGGGTCTTAGCAAAAATATCCAAGGGGTGGAGCTTAGTGGAAAGGTCTATCCAATCCCAATCCTTATGTTCCTAAACTCTTACCACCCACAGCAATATCTTTTTTTTTTTTAATGTGAAATACGTTCTTTTGGAGGTAAACATGTCATGTTCAGAGCTCAATATAATAGCAGCTTTTAATTATTATTTTAAATAAAATAATTGTACTGTACTTGGCAAGTTTGTCCAATTGCAGTGGAGGGGCAAAGAGGGGAAAGGGAATGTGCCCCTCTCCCATTTTGAGCAAATTCATAAATGGATCTTAATTACACCCAAATGAATTTTGATGATAAGAAGTGAGCAGAACAAAAAGCCATAAATGTACAGAGTTTAAAGTTAGCAGAACAAGACTTACATGTACGGACATCCTTTCTGAAGTAGAACTTGCCATTTAAAACAGCATCTCTTTTCTGTGCTTCATTAAGGTTTGCATCAACCTGCAAGAAAATGTAAGGCTGTAAGTACAGTTTAAAGGGTTAAAAGTTAGTGACGAATGGTGAACCCTTAGAGATTCTGCATTTTCATTTTGTTGTACCTTTATTTTTATTTTAAATATTTTTGCTTATTTATAATTCTTATGATGTGAAGCACATAGAAGTTATTATTATTATTATTATTATCATATTTGTATTTGGGATGTAAAGTATTATCACTAGAAAGTCGATGTGAGAATAAAGGTGTCAGCGAAACTAAAAGATATCTGGTCAATAGATAGAGGCTGGCTGGCTGGCAGGCTGTCCAACCACAAGATTTGTTCTTCTAAGTTATTTGCCTTCTTCCTTTCTTACTTGTTTTTTTTTCAATTTTAATTAAATTAAATACTTTGTGTTTACTTTTAAAAAAAAATGTTTTTTCTGTTGTTACTGTATTTTATAGAAGGAATTGAATATGTTCTCTGACAGGGCTCAGTTATGGATTAAGAACTAATAAAGTTTTGGGAGGATTTATTTTGAATCATGTAAAAAAAATCCTGGTTTTGACTCGGGCCAATAATTGCAAATATACCTCAATCTTGTGGGTAAGTGACTTGTTTTGGAAAGTATTGGGTATGAAAATTGTAACAATATACAGCATCCTTTACCTTCGATATGGGAATCAAAAAGTTGAGTTCAAAACTCAAAATGACTCTTGTTATTAGTACCATGAAGACCACATAAGCTGCATTTTCAAAGTCTGTCAATTGAACCTAAGAAATAAATATTATTTTATTATCTATGGTGTCATAATAATTGAATATACATTAATATTTTCTTCTGTTCTTTCATTCTCCTTCGCATTCACATATTCAAGTTCTACCACTTCTTAGTACAGTGGACAGATGTCAGGTGTTCCTTTATTGTTTACAGATGAAATTCTTATACCTTGCATCATTTTCATATGTATGAGGTGACCTCACCAAAATCAGATTCAACCAGTTCAAGACCGACTCAAAAAAATTTTAAATATTTTATTGATTTACTTGGAATTAGGGTAGTTTTTTTGACAACAAATATACACAGCAAAATGTAAAAAATAGCACATACCTCCATTGGTCTGAATTCAACTCTCCAACCTATTGTGGAGTTGACCGGTGGTGGTTTGAAGCGCATTGTCTGCCAGTTGGTTGATTGTATATTCTGTGGCAGAGGCAAAAGTAAAAGCCAACGATATAATTATATATCACGCAACTACACAAATTTGAAAAAGATAAATAAGACAGATTCTGACTACAATAACTACCATATGCATCTTGGGGGAGGGATGCTACTTCACTAGGGTCCTAAAAACCTAACCAAACTGTGCATCATGAGGGTGGGGAATTACCACAGTAGGGTCCTAGTGACATGCAGACCCTCATTGTAATAGAGCTATGCGTAATGGGGTAGGGATGATATTCCACGTTTATATGACCCGCATTCCTTCTTTGTATCCCAAATCCGGAGTTAATTAGGAGGCTTTCGATTTGCACGACAACGCGATGCTAGAACAAATTTGTTCATGCCTGACAGTCCTATGTTCTTTTAACAAAGCAGATTCGGCCAAATTGTGTCTTCTTACCTTGTCGAGCTCATAGAGACCTCGTTTATTTGTGCTATATAAATCCATCTTTAATTATTATTATTAAAATCCAGACATTCTGGCATGTGCAGATGACTTCTTAGTGATGTCAGTACATTCTATATCCTACTATGTCGTGCAATCAAAAGATCCTTATCTTTAAGTCTCAGTAGCTTGAAATTTGTATGGAATAGAGACCTAATAATGAAGTTTAACTTAGCATCCGACTGACTGACTGACTGAATGATTGATTGATCAATTACTAAATAACTAGTAATTGGAAAGATGATATTTCTTGGATCAAGAAATAAGATATCAATATCTCATATACAAATAAAAATAATATTATTGAACCTCAAAATGATCTGAATCTTGTGAGTCATCTTGATTAATAAGTTCAGAGAATAAGGAGACAGGGTCCCTGATGAACAAATGAGACACATGCCTGGCCAGCAGTCGATCAATACCTGCAATATAGAAAACACACATCATCCTCATTATTACCCTGATCGCCCATATACAAACAATTTTCTATTCATAATTTTCATCCTAACTATCTAGACCCCGGGTATTCAAACTTTTTAAGCTGGGGGCCATCCAATCTGTTGAGACCAGTGGCCATCCAATCTATGGAGACCATAAATTACGTATCATTTTTTTCTATGTCAGCCCCAATTATTTTTTTATAGCGAATAGAAGGGGCCAGGGAAGAACTTTCACAGATGGGGGACAAAAATGAGGTGAGCAAATTTTTAACATAAGTAACTCTAGATTCTTGGCAATGGCACATTTCAAAAATTAGTTTTCAAAGCAGTGTTTTCAACAAAATACTGTACATGCCCCAGCATGTATGCCTGCTGGTGCCACAAATGGTTAGAGATTGCATCATATCAGAGCCCACTTAATCCATTAATCTCTCCCTCCCCATGTCAATACCCTATGCTACTAGATATAGTGAGCTACACTCAGAAAAACCCACGCTCTTGTAAACAATGCTAAGTAGGGGTGCCTAGGTGGTGTTTCTACAGAAAATTTGTTCAAAAAATTGGCCGGAAAATGATTTATTTTTAGCAATGAGGTGCGGGCTAGATCAAAATCTTTGGCAGGCCAGAGTTGGCCCGCGGGCCAGGGGTTAATACCAGGGATTTAGACTAATCCATTTACAGTGATTATTCTCCCACTGCATATGCCACAGCTGGGTCTTCCTGTTGGGGGATTCTTACGCATTATTTGCTACAAATGTAAATACTGGAATTATAGTATGTACAGCACATTGTTTCTACTGTAATTTCTTTGTAATTTACTGCAAATATTTAGCATATGATGTACAACGCACACCTCCAATCAAAATTGTTGTATCCAAACAAATGGGTATTACATTTTTAATTGAGAAGGATAAAATAATTAAACTAATATTCTTCTTTGCCAAAGATTAACGCACCTGCATCTTGCAGTCGCTTACAAATATCTTCATCAATGACTAAATCTATGTCATTGTATCGGTCACTTGATTCTGAGAGGTAGCTATCGATTGAGTCATACCTGGATTTGTGAATCCGAAATTTATTTTCTTTTAGTTTCTAAAATGAAATAAAATGAAAAGATATAATTATGTTGTCAATGGTGACCATATGTTGCTTGTGTTTAAATATAATAAAATGTTCACATCCAACAGCAAGGTTTGAGACTCAATACAGGATAAAAAGAAAGTTTCATTATTAGGCCCAAGTCATGATGTTAAGCCAATATATACTTTCTGGGATTTTATTATTAGGGTACATTTTTTTTTTCACAAGGTATTGCATAATACTTCAAAATTCAAATTTATTTATTCATCAATCGATCAACAATCAATCAAATAAACAGATAAGACATGAATAAAATATATAAAATGAATAGTGAAAAATAATAAATCATGAATCAATAACTGTTATAAGTTGAATGAATAAATGTCAACATATATATATATAAGAATTAAAAAAAAACAGACTCAACAACACACACACAAGCACATACAATAAATAAATAAAATAAAATAAAATAAAATAAGAATAAATCAATTTATCAGAGAGAAGAGAAAAATAAAAAAAATTGTAGCAATCGGTGAACTATGAAATTATTTAGTAAATTTTTAAACATGCTACTGAAGCCTCAGCTTTCATATCATTACTGACGTTGTTCCAAATATGAGGACCTGAAATAGGAGCACTGTCTCTAGTACACTGTAGTCTACGAAATGGAGGTTTAAGATTATTTTTGCCTCTAGTGTTTTAATTGTGATTTTTACGATCAATATTATTATTAGGATTGTTCATAATTCGGTACGGGTGCACAAAAATAATATATACAGTACCTTGAGTCCCCTTTCTTCTTCTGTCCTATCATCTACCGAAGATGAGATAACGTACCACCGGCAATCAATATCCGATACATACCCACGGTAAAATGGAGAGGCCGCACTCAATGCTAACTGGTAAATAAAGAAAAATATTTGTTCACTTTCACAAATAATTAAACATCATGTTGGAATGCTTCTCTTAGTGGTACAGCACTAATTACAGGCAGCCTTCTTTTTAGTCTAGAATTTGCCCACAAGCATTCCACATCCTTCACCTGGTGAGTCCAGCTTACGCACAGTCAAGATTTTAGACAAAACATGATGTTGCTTCTAAGGTGCAACATGGGCTGTACTAATGCCTGTGGAGCCCGCATTCGGGCTAAGCACACAGTACAGTAGTAACTAAAATACTGTAGTAGCCCAGTAGGTTGGCCCACAGACACTGTAGCACCCATTGTTTGTATAATACAGCTTAGAAAAAAAGTCAAGAAGAATGGGCTGATTTTGCCACTGGCCACAATTTGCCTTTAAGCACCACATTCTCCAAGTAGTTGATATTGGATCAGTTCCAATGGCAAATATATTTTTCTCTTACCATTACTGGACAGAAAGGATTCAGTTGGTCATATAAGCTTCTAGCCTCTTCGATACAGCATGCCTGGAATGTCATTTGTATGCAAGAGTTTCCCATTCCAAAGGCCATGGCGTCCATGTAGATGTGGTCTGCCATGGCAGCTCTGGCGGACTCACCATCTGCATCATTCAGGAACTTCTCAATGAAAGGTGATGGAGTCTTTATGTCCTTAAAAACTGAACAACATGAGAAATAAATGCTACCATTATGAACATTAATTTTGGGTGATCTGGTGGGAATTTTCCAACAAAGCCAAAGCAAGTACTGTAATTAGTATGAAAACACTAAAAAATGAACATTTACAAGAAACAAACAGGTATTATAAACTGTATGCATGTTGGCTGCCTCCTAACCTCTAATAAATAGAGGATGGAATATCACCTAATTAGGAATATAGAACAACAATGAGAAGAAACACTTTAGTTTTTCATAAAATATGCATTTTTAGCATTATTTCAAGTAAAAAAATGCTAATAAAAATATTGATAAAGATTGTATCTATTTTCTTCAAATCTGCATTTTTACTTCAGAATTATTTCAAAGTATTTTTTAAATAATATTAAAAACTTAAGAGGAATTATATTTCTTACAACACAAATACACAGAATACAAACTTTCCCATGGCTTTCACACAATAAAAAACACAAAAATTGGTAGGATTAAGTTAGAAAAAAAGGCTGTGGGCTTTAGAATTCTAATGTAATGGAAATTGTCTATTATCTTTCCACCCAAAGTGATTTTAATAGAATGAAACAATTTTCTAAAGCATAACTCTAATAAATTCAATAAAACAATATACCTGTACTAGCAAGTTAAAAACAGAAGCATTTAAAAAATCTGAAGCCTTGAAATTTGAATGTAATATAAATTACTTTTCCTTTCTATAGCAAAATTCATTTTCATAGAATTATGTGATTTTCTACAGCTTAAATTTTCATACAATTCAATCTAAAAGAAATTGAAAAATATTTTTAAAATGCATTTTACAGGGGTGTAGGCTTCAGAATTATAATTTATTGAATGTTTTTTCCTTCACTTTTAGCACAAGTCATTTTCACAGAATTAAGTCATTTTCTAGAGCTTATCATTTCAAACAATTCAATATGATAAATATGAGTAAAAAAAAGCTGTAGGTTCAAGAATGTATATCTCTTTATAGCAAAAGCCAATTTCGTAGAATTCTATAAATTAACTCATCATATTAATCTAAAAGAAAATGGAGAGTACAGTAACTAAAAAAAAATGCATTTAAGAGGGGTTCAGGCTTATAATAATAATCAATTTTTACTTTAAACAATTTATAATAATAATCAGTGCTGGAAAAAGTGTGTGACCGCATGACCAGTGGTCGGAGGCAACATGAATGTCTCAGAGGCATTTTGGGGGAAAAAAAATTCAAAAAAAAATAAACTGTTGGGCTATTAATATACAAATATTAATACATCTAGAGCAGTCAATATTTGTTTTATATACCTCATAAATAGATTCTACAAGGCCTAAAGTAAAGCCACCATAAAGTCTAAATAAGATAAAAAATTGAAAATATATACAATTAAGCATACTTGGAATATTAATGCAAACTTTTTCTCCTCTCCTTTTCCGAATGTTCCTTGTCAGTGTCCTGAAAATGAGGAATTATTATAATTGCATTCATGTCATTTGTTTATATGACCATCAAAATACATACAAAAATGATATAAAAAAATTATAAATATAATTCAGCTCTGGGACAGCTAAAGTCATGAAATTACAATAGATCAGCTGTCCTGTATCATAGTTATAAATCTAGATTTTTATTTTGATTTATTTCTTTAGGCAAAATACTCATATGCGTCCGTCAAGGATTGCTAATAGTGAATTATATAACTGTCCTACTTGTAGTTGATGTTAACTTTCACACAACAAACATATACACATGATGCTTTACACAAACTAAACCTCAATATGATATTTAGAGACTAGTAGAGTTGTTTTGTTCGTTGGAAAAATCCTGCAACATTGACAGGAATTAAACTCAGTATGACCCTTGAAATTGAAGTCAAAGCATCTTCAACTCCACTCAAATAATAATGCATTCACAATAAAAAAAATAATGAAATCCTAGACTAAAATGTAATCAAGTCATTTACCTGTATCTTGGATGAGCACTAAAAATCACTTCATCAGGAATAAAGATTGACTTTGATGCGCCGGTATCAGTTGGATTCGGCTCATAAGTTGGATGTGTGAATTTTGGACAACCAAGTCTAAAATTAGATGAATATAGAAACAAAAACTGTGTAAAACTCATTGCCAATTTATGATTAATAAACAGGTAGTATGTTGAGTGAGATTACCATATATGGCATAAGACGTTCTTATGCCATGTATTCTTATGTGGGGGTGGGGGGAACCATAATGAATGATCCTTTATTTCTAAGGGATGTTCTGATTAGGAAAAAATGACAATTTTCAATACTCCATATATATTTGAGCACCAGATGTTTTTTTACGGGGATCACACACAAAACCAGAGTTTTCAGCAGGTACCTAATGCAAAACAGATGTGTTATAATTACACCAAAAGAAAGAACAATCAGGGACTTTACCATTCTTTTTATTCAATGATTATTGTAACATGTATAAAAATTTATAGTAAATATGGTTACTTTTCGCAAATTAATCTCAAAAAGTACAAAAAGCTGAGATAACGGCCTTTGAAAGGAAGCTTATTCACTACATGTGTGCTGGGTGGATGATTTCTATTTGATTATACACAAAAAGAAAACACTAAAGATGGAAATCTCTTGTCTTTGGCACTCAAACTATGGGTTACCAAAGACGAAGATTTTAGTCTTTGGCGTTAATGTGAGACTATGACAGACTATCTACGTTGAAATACTGGCTCTCATCAGATCTGACTGAGGCTGAAGGCCTGAGTTAGTTGAATGGTTGAACAGTAAGAATGGGCCACTATATCAGTAGCCTCAGTTATGGGCTCATGTTTGAATCCCATTCCTTACTCCTGGTTTGAGTAGCTAGGCCCCATTTGCTTGTGTGCACTTTAAATTTAACACCCCCAGAGTACCTTTTAAGTGGAGTACAGGTTGATCTAGATGTAAAGGTAGGAGAATAACCCATAACTTGCAGCGTCAACCCCTGTTATTATGGACAGATGTACAAGAAAAAGCTCCTACCAGTACAGGTACGATGTGACCCTTAAAAGTTGTTGAACAAGTTTGTCAATGCTGTGAGTCACGTAAAAATTTCATAACTTTACCCTTTCTTTACCCTTTTACAATAGTAAACACCTGTTCATATTTCCTGTAATGCAAATTCATGATGATAATCTGTGAAATGAATTACAACTGACCTAGGATATGCTGTCAAGCTAAGTGGTGCCTCGCCCATCTGCTCATTTATCAGTTTCCGTACCTCTTCACGTCTGTAGATGAAAAAAAAACAAGGTCAAGATATTTAGTAATAGTAACATCCTGAACAGAGAAAATAAAATACAAAATATAAAAATATTTAATTAGTAATTTAAGTCAGTTATTAGTACACACTCGAACTTAAACCTGTAATACTTTTATTAGAAGTGTGGGGGGGGAAGGGGTGGCACAGGGCCCCTGTCAGGGAGAGCTGGCCCCCACCGTTGGGGAGAAAAACCATGATTTGTCGGGGAGAAATATAATGTGATTTCTACATACTCTATAATTGATTAAATAAGCTTTTGAAACCCCTAAATTGTCATATGTTTGAGAGATTCGCCCCCGAGGACACTTTTGAGAGATTTAGAACGATACCTGACCATGTCCACTTTTTTTCGTCGGGGACATCGCGCCTCTCCCCCCACCCCTCATCGGGAGCATCGGACTCCCCGTCGGGCATATCCTAGTGCGACCTGCTTCTTCAGACATGCACATTCGAAACTGTGAAAGAAAATCTCTTCAAATCTGACAAAATACACATAAACACAAACACTGCTTTTGACCTTGAGTTAGAACAAAGCATGTTATCAATAATACCATATAACAATAAAAAGAAAGACTTTGTTACCGTAATCTCATGTTAGCCTCTACAATGTTGAAATGTGCTAAAGTTCCACCATATGGCTTTCCAGGTGTTCCTTCTACCATGTAATTGGCGTATTCCGGACGCCATGTTGTAGGGTGATTTCTAGTTCAAAATAAAATTTTTAATTACATTCAGTACAGGTATTAAAGTGGGTGAAGATTTTTGCCTTTTTCGTTGAAATTCTTTCAATCAAATATCTGATTTTCTTAACTTTGGACTTCATTGTAGACTATACAACATGTGTTTCACACTTTTCTTTTATTTTTCCTATTTATATTGTCAATAAAAGGGATATATCCATCATCATGGTAAAACATATATTAAACTCAAAATCAAATACCTGTACAATTAACGGTTAAAGAAATATGCAAGAAGCCTCTGTGCTCTACAGTATGTTTTCAAAATTAGTGGTGGTGATGATGAATGTGCTGCTATCCACAGCATTTACTTGTCAAAAATACACAATAAAATACATTAGAAAATTGCTTTTTGAACACTACAGGTTTTAAGAAAAAAAAACATCAACACAACACAAAAACATCATTACAGGAAAAAGTAACTCTACATATATTAAACATCAATTATTTATGGACATTAAATTACAAACTTTAGTATACAAAATTTAGATCAATATTTGTGGCAAAGACAAGCCAAACCAGTCACTCGTCTCAAATCCTGTTTCAGAGATAATGGCCAAAACATGAAGGAACGTCAACATTTTTTATGTCTATTTTATTACACTAAACTAACCATTATATATATATCATGCTATGCTGTTATTTTCCCCATTTGATGATAATACATCATAATAATATGTCAGATTTAAATGATTCTTTTACCACTTTATAGCTTTCACTTTACTGTTTAAACCCGTATTAACTAAAAATCGATTGTTGTGATGAGTGACTGGTTTAGGTATAGGTACTGTATAAGTTGTTGGGTTTACTGTTTTTTCCCCTTTTTTTTTTATTGTTCATAATTGTTATTTTTTGCTTTTGGGTTTTACAAAATAAAATCAATAAATTATGTATTAACGTTTGGTTGGGGTCATACTTTTCAGGAATACTATAATTTGTTGTCACAATACTTAAATCGTAAACTGATACTGACAAATCAGTAGATTCGTAAACATGACAGACGATAAGTGATATGTAAACTAGGTAGTGTGAAGCTGCTGCAGTGGGTTTTTGGGTCATCTGTGAGAATAACAATTAGTGCTTATTATCCTTTATACCAAACAAATAGCAAAAATATTAAGAAATACTGAGTCGGCAATAAGAATATTGATTAATATGAAAACCATGATTGGTGAGAAGATGCATCTGCATGTAAACTAGAGTAGTACTGGAATTTACTTTGTCATCTAATATGGAATAACAATTCTCCTATTTGCTGCCATACTGGTATTGCACTTTAATATCAGTAATGTATCTCTCCACAGTGCATAGACAATCCATCTATACAGTAATTTATGTAAAGCTGACTTAATCCAAAACAAGGTTAAACATTTTTAGAATTTTGGACATCATACTGTATGATGGTTTTCAAATTGTTCTGTTTTATTTTATAATAGTATTGTGTCTTTGGTCGTTTTTAATTAAAATATAAAATTAATATTTCAAGTTGTGTTTCTTTGTGTGTTGTCCTCGGCCCAGGAAATATCTGAGTAACAAATAAATTGATGATCTTAAAATTTATTTTGATTCATAATTTATTTCTATATTGTTGGAAAACATTGGAAAACAACCAATCTTTTTTATATATATTTTTTATATGTTTTTAATAGATCTTATGTTATTTTATTAAATTTTATGTGTGTTAAAATCTGGAAAACAAATTTCATGTATGTTTTTTATGTCATTGATAAAACAAATCTGGATTTAATGCATACTTTATGTGTATGTACAGTACGTCTGTATGATGTCGCACATACGTATGTACTGTATAGAGACAGATGACAATACTGAGTTGTTCAAATCAAGGATTTTATAACCTATGGATGGGTGTAAAAACCAAGGATAACCCAGAAAAGTCTGAAGAAGACTTATTTCCAGTGGGGTCCTTCTAGTGATGACTGGGCAGTACACCAGGAGACAATCCCCTACTCTTTTCGAAAGAGGTACTATGTTCTTTAATGTGCACATGGGACACATTGCACACAGAACCAATGGTTTAAATGTCTCATCCCAAAAATGGTGCGTTTTCATAACTTGCCCTCCAGTTGAAATAAAAGGAGAGTAGCGATGAGAATTGTACTGATGAGATCTCCACGGTTCAGCGCACACACAGTGGCTACCACCAGTTTAACCAAGGACTTATAACTGTTACCAGGATAGGAAGCTGGCTGGTTTAAGCCGTCTAACTGGAATTAGCCTTTATGTGTGGTATTGTTATATGCTAATGTGCATGGTCAGAAAAACAAAACTTTCCTTAGCCACATTGCGGCCCGCACTGCGTATCGGCTTGGGGAATTACGGTACGGAAACAAAGCAAAATAAGGGTACTAATTTCACTTGGCATGCAAGTCAATCATACTTACACATTTAAAAACAAACTAATCTACCAATAAAATCACCTGCTAGTTAAGATATAAGGCAAGTATGTTCACAAATTTGATTTTAAATTGATGTGATTTTGTTTTGTAGTATTACAATGAACATCACATAGGCTAGCCTAGGTCATGTCTGACCGCTTATAAAAATGCAAAACAAAGACCCAAAACAAATTAGAATGAAGTTATCAACTAACTAGTGCATTAAAATTATTCATATACTTACTACTTACTTATATGAAATTAAAATGTATTGCTCACAAACGCCAATTTTTTATTTTAATTCGCCCTTTTTTTGTTTTACAGTACTGTAATCCTTGGCAGGCCTAGCTGTACGCCTAGCCGATACGCAGTGCGGGCTGCAGTGTGGCAAAGGAAAGTTTGGTTTTTCTGAGCATGTGCAGATTGTACTTATCTGGCTCATTAGCATAACAATACCACACATAAGGCTAATTCAAGTTAGACGGCTTAAACCAGCCAGCTTCCTATCCTGGTAACAGTTATAAGTCCTTTGGTTTAACCAACTGAGCTAACTGCTCTCTCTCTATGGCAGCTGCACAGAAAAAAATGTGTTGATTCACTTCTCACACACCAGTGAGCAAAAAGCCTTGAAAATATGCAAGTCATGGCTATCATCCCACCTACCTTTTACACAGCGACTAACAATGGAACATTGCCAAAAACCAGTCAATCAATCACTAATAAGTCAATCATCGAAAAAGAAAATATCTTGCTATTAAAAGCCTATTGACTAAAACATAAAACTGAGCTATTACTGCTCTCTTTCTCTATGGCAGCTGAACAGAAAAAAATGTGTTGATTCATTTCTTACACACCAAAAAGCCTTGAAAATATGCAAGTCATGGCTAACCCCTACCTTTTACACAGGGACTAAGAAATGGAACATTGCCATTGAAAAAGAAAATATTTTGCTATTAAAAGACTATTGACTAAAACATAAATCTAGTACAGGTATAGTAAAATAACAAATTGTTAGAACTATATTAGTACTACTTATGCCGTTAAGCATTACTGCTACTACATTTACACGAGTGCATTTTTGACTAATATTGATTTAATATCATACTTTGTTCTATAATCTTTGTTCTGTCACGTGACATTATATGTCAGGCCCTGGCCAATGGAAATACAGTAAGCCAATATATGGATTTTATAGATATTTTACCAGGGCCTTAGGATTTGGTTTTCAATTGTAATGTAATAATACTAATTGATGTGGCATTGTACTTGTTTTGTCAGACCTTTCAAAACACATCAAAGTACTGACCTTGCTAATTTTAATCAAAAATCCCATAGGTGTACAAGGCCTATCGTTGTAAGCGCCTTGAGCACTTTAGTGGAGATGTGCGCTTAATAAATCTTATTATTACTATTATTGCATTGCTGTTCTGAATGAAAATCAATACTATAAGTTTGAATAGACTTTTATACTGTAATTGAATTCATTTGTACTCCATTGATCTTTTAGCACCATTGGAGAGTTCGCCTTGCAATCCAGTCTGGAGGGGGGGGGGGGGGGGGGTGAGGAAGTAAAATCAATAAATATCCTGTCAATCCTACTAAGAACATGTTTAATGTGTATATATCCTAGTAACGAAAACTAAAAATAAATTAAATTTATGCTTATAAAATACCCTATTTTAAATTATAATCTATAAACCCGTTGACAGATGCTTTATGTTTACAAAAAATTTAGATAATTTTGGTGAGCTTGCACACTTATCTCCCTAGATACTACTGTGTACAGCAGTTGAAATTTTATCAGTATGTACAGTATGCATCTACTGTACTTTCTGATTGTGAAAATGTTGGCATTTATTGTTAGAAATGCATAATTGGTACTCCAGGAGATGAGTAAAACAACTCCCCGGTATTAAAACAAGTGAGAAATTCCAATATGACACTTCCAATAAGTGTTGTTGACCATCAGTGTAATTTTTCAGATTTACATTAACGCTGTAACAAGAAACATTTTACATACGATGGATTTGTATGCTCTTGTTGTTGTAGAATCTTCAGCAGTTCAGGTCCCTTCAAACTCAATTGAGCTGTTTGTGCTTCATCGTTCAGACGTACCAGCATATACTCAATCTGTTTTCAAAACATATTGTATTTAATTGTCAGTGTAGATGTTGAATAAATAAATAAAAACAAGTATGGTACTACCAGTAGTAAATGGTAGTAGCTCAAACTGACATTAACTAGTTTGTAAGAATAGCATTACACAAACATTAAACAGAAAAATTAACATTCTTTTGTTTTTTAAGGGTTTGTTTAAAAATTAAAATATAAAGGTTGAGCATATTACTAACAAAAAGAGGGTGTGGATGGAGTTTAGTACATTGAACTGCAGTTACTAGTAGCCTAAAGCACAGTAGACTCAAATTGGTGGATGCAAGGGGTACTTGTCCCATCCCCAACTTCCTCCACCCATCCCAGCTAGCAAAAATGAAAAAATAGATCAAACATGAAATTGTTTAATATGATTCAGAGATGAAAATGGTTAAAACTTCGAAATTTCCAGGCAATACACCTCATGGACGACAAATATTGAGAAGGGAATGCCCTTCTCACACCATTCCCCGGCACTAGTTCCTCAAATGCAGCTTTCCACCACATCAGCAGAAACATCCTGGATTCTGAAACTATTAGTCCATTATCTGAATATCATCAAACAGTGGTGATAATGAATTATATATTGCAAGCATTTTCAGTACAGTGAGCATAATTTACCTCATCGCCCCATTTGAGCACATCACCTTTGCGATCCTTTAGCCTCTCATATAGGTTGATGAACTGCTGAACTCCATGGTTTCTTACATGGTCGGCATATTTTTTAGTTTCTTCCCATGTAAGAGGGGATCCTTCAGACAGCAGTCCCATTATCAACCTGTAACAGAGTTGTGTGTTAATGAACAGTCAGCCAATTCACATTTTAATTAAGCGACTACACTTATAAAAGGCAAGTCATCTGCAAGGTCGGTGGTGAGTGCACATTTACGCTAAGCCCCACCCCTTGGATATTGTTGCTAAGGCTATTCTTTTCTGGAAGAGAGTACACAGTAGTAAAACTAGAGAACAGCTCAATCGATTTGAACAAGGTATACATGGTTTAGTGCATAGTTATCGCCATCTTCTATTTCCATCAAGTCTGATGCAATCACAAATAATTTAAATAATAGATAATTGAAATCTTGTTTACACATGTGTCAACATTCCTGATGATGACATAATAAATGTCAAAATATTGAATCCCGACAGGATGGCGTGCATTTCGATACTTGGAGTATGTGTATTATACTATCTTATGTCAACTTAACAGTATGAAAGTCCATGTTGTTAGTGAAGTAAGGGCACATAGGGCACATAGAAAAAATTATTAGAATATCACTCTTTAAAAAAAAAAAATTGAAGAGGGCCTGAGGTTTTTTTTGTCTATAGACGTTTTCAGCCCACTGGGTGGGTCTCTTTAGGGACAAACTGCAGTGTTGTCTAATTTAGCTGTGGAACACGCGAGTCTTCACGCTGTGAATTAACGATCCAATCAGTACACTGCGTGGGTCTCTTTAGAGACTTACCACGGTTTTGTCTATTTTGAGCCACAGTTAACTAGCTGTTTTAGTGACAGTAAACAATAAGAATTTGAAGAATAGGCTTGGCATTCAACTTTATGGCAACCAATGTCTCGTCTAATAAATTGGAAGAGTTTGAAGTCTGCAGAATTTGGAGCCAATCTCTTTATATTTTGTGAGCATTTGTTTTTTTTTTATGCTGTTAAATAAATAATGCGGAAAAAAAATTATTCCCACATCAATATTTCCTAAATTTTTGACACAGGTGGGAGTGATAACCTAATAATTTTTTCTATGTGCCCGAATGTGAGTCATGTTTTTTTTTTCCTAGTACACAAAGTTATTATTGAATATATCTTGAAAAATATGTATAAAGTGAGGTTTCTGGTAAGTTCAGTTTTTTTTCTGGAGTTTGAAATATAGGCCTACTATTACAAAGTTCATAGAAAATGTTACAAGATATATTTTGGTGTGTTTCTACTCCTGCTTCTACTACACTAGACTGAGTTTCCAATGCAGAACTCTATGCAGTTTTTAAAATACTGGGACAATTTTGCATACAAAATTTTGCATATCATCATGCAAAGTCATACCCTGAATGTTGTCTAGCATTGAGGACGCACACTGATTAAATTTCTGTGGACAGTGATTTTCTAAGCAAGGCCATTTTCAATTTTATAAAAAAGTGTTTTCTTAAAGAGGAGAAAAAACACTTCCATGATGTTTACAAAAGCACTTTACACAATTAATATTATTATTCAATTATTTGGATTTTAGCGGCTTTTACTGCCCTGCTGTAATAGACATAAATTTAAATCAAAATTTAGCTTGTTTTGGAGTTGGCCTACAGTATGATGCTCCCTCTTTGCAAGTAGAGGGATTCGGCGATGGGCGTCACATGGCTTTACGTGGGTGTTGGATATAAACAATCCACTGACACAGCAGTGTTTTACATGGAGATTGCTATCACGGCTGTCCGTTGTTTATTGCTGTAAAGATTATTATAATTCTAGTAAACTATAACAAATTGATTGGAAATAAAACATGAGAATTTTGCCTTAATGGTTTTCTAATGCTGTAAATAATACTGGCCGCAAACATTGAGATTTTTCAACAAATGTTAGGCCTAGGCCCCCGCACATCTACGGCATGGTTTAGTTATGACCCACAAACTACGCTGTGATGTTAGGGCTAGCTAAGGTTTATGAGGGATCACTTAAATTTCAAAGCATACAATCCTTCGAAAATGCTGGGATAAGTAATAAACACTATTTTGAACAATCGTATAGCCTTTCCGAGCCATTTATTTCTCAACATAATTTAACAGTGGGTGGTTGTTTTCACAACCATTACATTATCTTTTCCTATACTATCGCACTGTAATGTTTTTCATGTATACCCAAGCTAAGTCACAAGATCGGCTGTAAACAAACATTGCCGAATCCCTCTACTATTCCTTTCTGTTTTTCCCCATTTTATTCTTTTTTTTGGGGGGGGGGGAAGGGACATGGGGCCCTTAGATCGCCTCTGCTAACTGGGGCCCAAGTTGATGTGTGGGGCAGTATCTGACTGGGCCCAAGTTGACCTGTTTTCAAAAAAGAACATTGCATTTTGGCCTAGCTCAGCTAGAAGGACGTCTAGCGGCTGCTGCTGCTACCTACTACTGCTAGGCTAGGCCTAGTACTAGGCATCCATGCATGGCCTAGGAGGCCTACTAAATAGTACGCCTAGCCTAGGCCTGCCGCCCACGGATAGGCCTCTAGGCCTAGGCCTACAGCAGTAGTCCCTAGCTTATAAATCATACATTTTTATAAAGCAAAATACCTTATATTTTATGCAATTAACAGGTTCTTAGCGACAATAATTCTGTAAGCACATTGACTTAACTTTCTACTACACTCGATGCTAACTTACTGTACATATCAAAGGCTTGCTTATTGCTTAGTCATCACGTTCACGACCACCAGCAGTCAATCAGTGGGGAGGTGGGCGGTGCAATTTGATCAAGGACTTGATGACCTGGGTTTTTTTTAGCGTACACACAAAGTGGGCGGTGCCAATCGTCGACTTCGTTTTTTGCACAATAGTGCATGAGTGCGACCAGCAAATCCTCCGGCCAGTCGTGGCGTACCTGGACTCCTGGACGTCAAATGGGGACGGAGAAGCAGGCCCGTATCCAGGGGGATTTTTATGATTTGGGAAAACCCCCCTTTTCTAGTAAACCCCCTCATTTCTGGCGAACCCCCTCTTTAAATTTCCCAAATACGTCCTCCAAAATGCACTGCAGACCCACCCAGACACAGACATTTTTAAACATATCCGCTTTTATAGCATTATTTAGACACATAAAGCACAAAAGTCCTCTTGCTTTGGGGGTTTCGCGGACCCCACCGGGGCTTCGACTGTGGACGTCACGCCCAGAAACCCCCTCCCCCCCCCCCCCTTGGAAGAACCTGGCTACGGGCCTGCTGACTATAGGCCAAGGGAAGGGAGGGTGGGGAGTGAAGGTGCTGGTAGGGCCTCAATGATTAAAATTTAAGTGAGGGAGGTGACCTAGCTCGCAAAAACAGCAGCGTACGAGGAGGTGGTGACGTGCCCCAGTGCATAATTTCCGGGCCGGCCCTACTAAAGGCACCTGATCGGACCCAGAGACAGAGCCTTGGTGGGATCTCGAGCTCTAAATTTAATGCTTCATTCTGAAATTGTTTAAAACAGATACGGCATTGTAACGAGCATAATTATTTATTTATAGAGTACAGTAGGCCTATTCAAAAACCTTATTTCAAATAGGCATATAGTCAAAGTCATATATTTTTATCGTTTCGCCTTTTTCACGCGCGAAAGCGTAACCGACAGAAATAACATAGCGTTTCGGCCATATTTTCGGAGGTCATGTTACTCAAAAAATCATATATCCTTAACGGGAGGTCGTGTCAACATATTTTTTTTCATTAAAATGTTCGCAAAGGATATACGTATCTACATACCGTATGTAAAAAAAAAAAAATTGAAAATTTTTTTAGCCTATCAAATAATATATTTATATTTATCAAATATAATATAGAAAACCGATTTTGTATAGTGCGTGTTGCTATTATTTCAATTAAGTTTTGACAGGCTAAACAAATTTTATTTTTTTTGTAACTCATACAGTACTTAGATATATCCTTTGCGAACATTTTAAAGAATAAAAATGTCGATGCGACCCTCCGTTAAGGAGTTATGATTCTTAAAGTAACATGACCTCCGAAAAAATATGGCCGGCACGCTAAATGATATTCGGTCGAACAGTGTGAAATAATGGCAATGTGTGTGTTAACACTAGGCCTACACAAAATCGGTTTTCTATAAACAAATTTTCAATCTTTTTTGAAAGTCATCCTACTTGTTTGATGGCACGTAATAGGAAATTGGAATGCATAGGTCTATATAGTCTATAATTATGGCCTCTAAAACCTTACTGAGGGGAAAATTTAAGTAATTTTAAAAGTTATATTTTTAGATGTAGGCCTATGCCTATTGCCCGGGACCCAGTGCTTTGCACAGGCAGGGTCCACTGCCTGTACCAACGCCACTGTCGCAAAATAAGTTGATAATGGGTGGAGGTGGTTTGAGCTTGATATTTTTGTCTTTAACATGTTTATGGAGAGCTGGAGACTATGAGGGGATGCTTGGTGGGGTCTCCCAGCATCAGAAAAATAGTCATCAGAGCAGGTCTAGGCCCAGGCCCTACTAAATTAATATAGGCCTATCAGTGCGGGAAAAAACAGAATAATGTTCATTATATTGCATTACGTCGCAAAGAGTTCAGAAACAGCGAAGTAGTAAGTTGCCGATCCACATAGTTAGACCTAAATTATTATTTTGTAATCAAGCATGCCTCAATCAACACTCGATGGCTGTGGAAAGTTAACCGAGAGGGTTTTATAACATTTTGAATCTTGTCACCAGGGACGGCCCGGCCCCGCCTCCCCCATCCCCCTTTTGGGAGGTTAAAAAAAGGAAAAAAGAAACGAAAAAAAAGAAAGAAAAAGAAAAAAATGATAGCCCAGAACGCATCAAATGTTATTATGATTTTTTGACATTAACAAGGGACAATTAATTACGTTAAATTCAGGATTTTACGTGCTCGACAAGCGCGTTAGTTACGGGTTTGCGCATGCGTATTTCGATGTTTACAAAGGGGCGGAGTTATCGCGTTGCACGTTGGGTACTATACGTTGAAGTTAAAGCCCCATTCCCGGCAAAATTTCACTAAAAATGACTTTTTTTTAGAAAATATGCATTTGCATTACTCCAATTATTATAAATCATGGAAAAATATTGGCATGAATTTTAGTTTTACGCAAAA